CTAACATTCGTGACTCGTGAGCTACCATGTAATAAGTTAGCTAAAGTTTAGCTAAGGCAATATATAATGGGCATACAGGCTAACTTAATGGAGAAACGACAGCTGATTACAGTAAAAAATAAATAACGTCATCAGAATCGTCACATTGAAATTGTGGCATTAAGTAATTAAAATATACTATTTTGCATACATTTGACACAAGGCATTACAGATGAATGTGATATGCTTTAGTTATTTTGTTTATCACCACATAACTGAATTTCCCTTGAAATTTTGAAAAAATTGCAATTTTGAAGTGTTATATATTACACTAACACCAAAATAATTAAAACAATGTATTGTCTTGTGCAAAATAAAAAAATTATTAGTGAAAATATGTCCCTCTCCTTTGTTCAGTCATTTATTCTTTTTGGAGCTTGATTAAATAAATACTTTGTTTTTAACGGGGAGGCCGTTTTAAGCTATGAAACTTGCAGGATGATTTAATGGTACAAAGTCCTCTGATATGCCAAAAGATCAAGGCAAATTTGATTTCTCATGTCATGACCCCTTAAAAAAAATCACAATATTATTTTTACTGCAGTTTTATGAAACAAACAGAACCCTGGTGAATCTGAAACTTTTAAAACATATTAAAACAAGAAATACTATCAACCTCAAACCTTTGAATGGTAGTGTATATAATACAAAATATATATTCAATGTAGTAACCCAGTTGTTCCCTTTCATGGGAACTTCGAACTGCATCCTCTAGGGGTCGCTATGGGGAATGCCTTGTCGTGACCCGTGTCTGAAGCATACATTGAAAAAACACCAACTTGTTGAAGCGTGTATTTTACTCGTCGATATATGTCCAGACGGTAAGTAGTCGGTTTTCGGCTTCATACTTCCTGGATCATGCTGCCATAACACAGGCTTCTGCGGGAGCCTTCGTGATCATCAGGCCCCCGGCTCATCACTGCAAAAACTTCCTGGACGTCCGGGCTGGGGCTACGCTTTCATGCTACCCTGACTGGTCTACCGTATCTGGGTCGGTTCCGCCTTGGGCACCACTCCTTCTATGTATCCTCTGGATACCTACTTAACAGGGTTTTTGCTACTAAGGATCTGTTGAGACAGTTCCTTCACCACAAGACAAACGTGCGGTAGCCCCTGTGTGACAGGCCAAGACTAGTATGATTCTAGGCTCTTGGTCGTATTCCCTTAAAGGAATCTATTCCTGATTCCAAACCTTGAGCTCTACCCCGGGCCCAGGAGTCTGGCCCTAATAGGTAAGTATTTTGGGGTATGTAGCCTAAACCTTTGGCCGTAGGGAATAATGTCACTGACAGCCGTCTAAAGTCCCAGGGGCGACTCCCATAGCAATATGGTAGAGTTGGTACTTAGTGCTCGCCATGGTTCTGGCATGCACTCCCCTCAGCATGGTGGCGTGGGTATACCGTTCCCCATAGCGACCCCTAGAGGACGCAGTTCGAAGTTCCCATGAAAGGAAACGTCTCGGGCTACTTATGTAACACTGGTTCCCTGAGTAGGGAACGAGACACTGCGTCCTCTAGGTTTCTTGCCATGCTGCGGACGCAAGCTTCAGACGAAGAAGTGAATGATGTGTGCTGCCGGCGCCTATTTATACTATAGTCGCACCGGTAGTGACGTCATGGCTGTCGCCGGCCAACAAGTTGGTGTTTTTTCAATGTATGCTTCAGACACGGGTCACGACGAGTCGTTCCCCATAGCGACCCCTAGAGGACGCAGTGTCTCATTCCCTATTTAGGGAACCAGGGTTACATAAGTAACCTGAGACGTTAGGTAGAAACTCTGTTAGAAAACTCTTGTTTGTGTGGTTTGAAATTTTTTTTTTGTAAAAACAGTGCATCAGTGTGTGTGTGTTGGAGAAAGGATAAATAAACAAAACAGCTTATTGTTTATTTTGTCAAAGGAATGAATGGCTGGCCACAATAAAAGGCCACTCTAAAATGTGCAGTTTTATCACACAGCACAATGCCACAGATGTCACAAGTTTTGAGGGAGCATGCAATTGGCATGCTGACTGCAGGAATGTCCACCAGAGCTGTTGCCCGTGAATTTAATGTTCATTTCTCTACCATAAGCCGTCTCCAAAGGCGTTTCAGAGAATTTGGCAGTACATCCAACCGGCCTCACAACCGCAGACTACGTGTAACCACACCAGCCCAGGACCTCCACATCCAGCATCTTCACCGCCAAGATCGTATGAGACCAGCCACCCGGACAGCTGCTGCAACAATCGGTTAATTTAGGAGGAGAGCTATAGTCTTTCCCACTTGCTCTTGAACCTGCAACCTCATAAATCCTCATAAATATCAACTACAGTCTGAAAATATTTCACATGCCTCTGAAGAGAGCAGGCACAGTTCAAAGACAAGATGAAAAGGCCGAGAGAAAAAGAGCGCAAGAGGGGGAGGAAGAGAAAAGAACATCAAGAAGGTGCTTCTTATGAAAGGTGAAGCGTTAAATGCCCTTAGGTATCGATTTTATATCACAGTCAGATCTTAGATAGCTTTAATGGATTCTTAAAATGCAGCGAAATCTTTCCCACAAAAGAAAGCCATTTGCTTTGAAAGTGGGGAGGGAGATGAGAGCGGGAGAGACGCTGCGCTCTGGGGCCGGCATAAAAGAATATGTCAGCTGTGAAATTCACGTCACGGCACCTTGAACTAGATGAACTGGCGAGACATGGAGGAGAGAGAGAGCGAGAGAGCGAGAGAGAGAGAGAGAGAGAGGAGCGGGCCGAGGAGGATGGCGGACCCTGAGGGGCAGAGGAAAGGGCTTTTGGAGTGGGAGAATATGAGAGCGAGAACTGACAAGAGTGTCGTGACTGAAACCACAGACTGCCCCCTGGAGACACAGGCATGCGTGTCAACAGAGTACTGCCCCACATACTCGCTGTCTGACTAGAATGATTCACTCATCTCTCCCACACTCTCACCCAGGCACGTCACCTCTGCTGTTTCTTATTTTGGTTCTGGATATCTATTCTTGTTCTCTTCTCTGACCTGGGTAAGGTCTGTGTGCCAGTCATTTCAGTTGTTAATATGAATCCTGATGTTGGTCACGAATGTTGTCTCACCTCTACATGCTTTAGTAGTAAGCTACTAGACTGCCTGTCTATATCTTTGCTTGCTTAATTTTTGCACTGTGATATAAATGACAGGTTTATCAGCTGTCTCACCATATCAGTGATGGACACCTATCATGGTTTTATTAGTATGATCCATTGTTATTGGCCTTCATTACCAATTGTCTGCTTTGTGCAAGCAGTGTTTGAATTGTCAGAGCTCTTGTGCTTTACTTTTTTTTACCTCTAGAGGTCGGTAAAAAGCCATTTAAAACCAGATCAATACAACCAAATCAATTGAGGTTCAATGTAGCCTAGTTTATCAAGTACAAATCCTAATATCTCAACTTCAAAAACACACAATCATGCCCAACTATTAAATATATTAAATAATAAAAACGTAAAGACTCACACTATATACAGTGCAGTGAAAAGTGTTTAGCCCCTTCCTCAAACAAATTTTAATATTACACAAAGATAATGCAAGTAAATACAAAATGCATTTTTTAAAAATTATGATTTCATTTATTAAGGGAAAACAAATCTGTCCAAACCTACGTGGCCCTACATGAAAAATTAATTGCCACCTCCTGTTAAATCATGAAAGAACCGTGATTAACCACATTATTTTAGAAAGCGGAGTTGAATTTCACTAGACACACCCAGGCCTGATTACTGCCAGACCTGTTGAATTAAGAAATCACTTAAATAGAACCTGTCTGACAAAGTGAAGCATGCTTAAAGAGCAACACATCATGCCGCGATCTACAGAAATTCAAGAACAGATGAGAAACAAAATAGTTGACATGTATCTAGGGTTGCCCCCGACTAAAGATTTTTCTGGTCAACTAGTAGTCGTTCATTTTAAGCATTAGTCGTCTAATCACACATATATTAATAAACAATTTAAATTATTTTTAAAAAAAATTTAAATGGAAAGCACAGAATTTGGGCCCTAAGAATGTAATTTTTGTTAAACTTTTAATAGGCCTAAATTGCTGTTAAATTAAACAAGTGTCATGATTTTAATTAATTAGACATATTTTTTGTTAAAATTTAATATAATCATACAGAAAAATTGAAAAAAAAAAAAAAAAAATGAATCCAGAAAATTTTGCATGGAAAAAAAGATTTAGGAAAAAATAAAACTTAGCCTAATTTGGGAAAAATAAAACGGATTTCATAGGGCCCTACAAATATCATGCAACTGAAGCTATAATTGTAATACTAAGCAATAGTGCATATTATATAGGGCCTATTTTAATTTTTTTAAATGACGCTCACTCGATTTTGTGAATGACCCAAGAAGGTCACTTTCTACACAGGCACACTTCATGTTTGGTTGAAATAATCCTTAAGCATGTAAATTTATAATTTCCTTCAGTTTAATTTAAATGTGCAATTAAAATAAATAAAAAATAAATGTATATTTTAAAGTTTAGAATTAGACAGCCTTGCATTGTGTAGACAATTGCATAGTGAAAATTACCCCAATGCACCACCTACCGTCCAACCTACTCTAATACTATTATAACCTGTTTAAATATGAACAAGGGATTTACAACATTAAAGAAATCCTTTATTTATAACATGTACATGAAAAATCTAAAAGATTGGACACAACTATGGGACACGGTCGTGCAGCAGCGAGCAACAGTGAAAGAAACCTCAAGGTTGTAGATGTGTGAAATTGTATAGGGCCCCATTCCTGTATTTTGCCTGGGGCCCCCAAATCACTAAATCCGCCCCTGACTAGCAGCTAGTTCTTCCTATGAAGTGCTAAGAAATTGTATAAATGTGCAGTCAGTTAAATCCATTTCTAGACTGAAAGGCTATGGCCCATTCGTGTGTCAATAACCCTTCTAAAACTCCCCACCTGTAAGTGAACGGAGGGGGAGTGCCTCACCTCTTCCTGTAGGGTGGACCTCTCTTCTTTGAGCTGCTGTAAGTTAATATGAGCCTGGTTCAGCTCCTGTGTCTTCTGCCGCAGCTCCTGCAGGGCTGACTGCAGCTGTGCCTCTCCTGTCCTCCGCTCTTCCAGGAGCTGATGCTGCCTCTGGGAGGCGCTCTCACAAACATGCTTCATCTCTTTCTCCTGCTCTTTAATGCGCTCCTGCAGCACTGCCAACTCCTCATGGAGCTCCTGCACGGCTGAATGAATGAGAGCAGGAATCTAGAGCAAAAGAGAGAAGGAGAGATAGACAAGACATGCAAATATAGATTGGAATAAAAGAAAAGCACACACACAGACACCAAAAAACATTTGTCCTGATGACTATGACTATCTTTAAAAATCTAAAAAAATATTATAATTTTTTTTATTGAACAATGACACATTTAATTAATTGAAAATTACAGTGAAGAAATTGATAACATTAGAAAATATTTCTATTTTAAATAATTCTGTTCTTTTGAACCTTCTTTTAATCAAAGAATCCTGAAAAAAATGCATCTCAGTTTCCACAAAAATATTAAGCAGCAGAAGCTGTTTTTAACAATGATTATAATAAGAACTACTATTAATAAATGATCACCAACAATAATCGATAATGAACGCCAAATCACTGTATTAGAATGATTTCCGAAGAATTATTTGACACTGAAGACTAGAGTAATGGTACAGTTTTGCCATCACAGGAATAAATTACATTTTAAATTATATTCAAATAGAAAATGTGACAATTTTAAATTGTAATAATGTTTCACAATATTACTGTTTTAATGTATTTTTCATCAAATAAATGCAACCATAGTGAGAATAAGAAATTTCTTTCAAATACATTAAAACATTGTAATTATTCCAACTTTTGACCCCTAGTGTATATATAGAGTAGATAAAGATATTTTGGCATCACATCAACTTGCCCTTAACCCCTTTGCTCCCAAATCTCCTCCCCATTTCAGCCATGACCAGCAACCCCTCATCTGTGGCATGCAGACAGACAAAACCTCTCAACATCACTTCTGGACCAGTAGACCTGCCTCCACCAATCTTCCTCCGGCCAAACTCATGCGCACATGCACACACTGAGTATCAGGCTCCACCGGACAGACAGTAATCAGACATAATTTATGGCCATGAACAAAGGAGAGGTGTGAGCCAAAAACCAAACAAGAGACATGGAAACAGACCCAGGGGGCTCTATTTGAGTGTGTGTGTTCAACTTTTAACTTTATTTATTTATAAAGCACTTTCAAAACCACGGTGTGGAAACCAAAGTGCTGTACAGGATGACTAAATAAAAATACAAAAATGAAATCAAGCACAAAACATTATAAACATATACCACAACAACAACAACAACAAAGAACAAATTACAAGACATTTTTAAATGCTAATGAAAACAAATGAGTTTTAAGCGCACTCTGAAATACAGGAAGTGTAGGAGAAGATTTTACAGACAGAGGAAGGTCATTCCAAAGCCTTGGAGCAGCAACAGAAAAGGCCCGATCACCTTTACATTTTAAACGAGATCGAGGTACCATCAGATGTAATTGATCGTTAGAACGCAAAGACCTATTGGATTGATGCAAACTGATTAAATCAGAAATATACTCTGGTGCTAAACCATGCAAAGCTTTAAAAACATATAATAGCACTTTATAATGAATCCTGTATCGTACAGGAAGCCAGTGTAATTTAATAAGCACAGGAGTAATATGCTCTCTCTTCTTCAACTTAGATATAGATCTAAGATGGAAAAAACTATTTTTAACAACGGCATTAATTTCACAATCAAATTTGAGCTCTGAGTCAAAAATGACACCAAGGTTTTTCACACTAGAAAATTTTTTCCTAGGAGGTAACCCCAGGCAGTCAGTGACATCATCCACACATCCCTTTTTACCAAATAAAATAATCTCAGACTTATTCTCATTCAGTTGGAGAAAATTATTAGCCAACCAACACTTAACCTCAGCCAAACATTCATACAGAGATCGAATGGATAAATTATCCTTGCGTTTCAATGGTAAATAAAGTTGCGAGTCATCAGCATACAAATGATAATGAATGCAGTGTTTAAAAAAAAAAATTGATCCTAGAGGGAGCATATAAAGGGAAAACAAAACCGGTCCCAGGATTGAACCCTGAGGAACCCCACACATGAGAGGGGCAACAGATGAAGAGTAATTCCCTAGACTGACTGAAAAAGTCCTATCTTTTAAATATGAAGAAAACCATTCTAAGGCTAAACCCTGAATGCCTACATGGTCTCTTAGGCGATCAATGAGAATGTTATGGTCAACTGTGTCAAATGCTGCGGTAAGATCTATAAGTAACAGAACAACACAACTTCCAGAATCAGCGCCACGTAGAATATCATTAGTAACCCTCAAAAGAGCTGATTCTGTACTATGGCCGGCTCTAAACCCTGACTGAAATCTATCCGAAATGTTGTTCTTCACCAAAAAATCATTAAGCTGTGCATACACAATCTTCTCCAGTATCTTTGAAATAAAAGGCAATTTTGAAATGGGATGAAAATTATTCATATCAGAGGAGTCTAAACCAGCTTTTTAAAGAAGGAGCTGGTTAACTGCATGTTTAAAACTAAGAGGAACAACACCAAATATCAAGCTACTATTCATAATATTTAAAATGCATGTACCAATACAATTAACCACTTCTTTAAATAAAAGAGAAGGAATCACATCACAGGGAGACCTAGTGGGCTTCATGTACACAATTATTTCTTTGAGTTGTGGAAGAGATACCGGCGTAAAACAAGTCAATTGATTTGGAAGGACAGAGTGTACAATAAAATCATTGGTAACAGATGAAATCTGGGATCTAATTCCAGCAGTCTAATGAGTAATGAGAGTAATGGCATAACAACAGGATGGAGTACAGTGTTTATAGTAGAAAAAAGCACTCTAGAATTATGGCAGTTCCTCGAGATAATATCAGAAAAATAATTAGATCTAGCTAATTTAACAGCTTTTTGTTATTCACTCAAACAACGCTTCAAAATCTCATAAGAAACCTGTAGTTTATCTTTAAGCAATTTACGTTCGGCCCTTCTGCACTCTTGCCTGAGAGCACGCGTATTACTGTTCAACCAGGGCTGTGTCTTGACCTTTTTATTCCTAATTTCCAAAGGAGCCACAATATCTAAAATATCTGAACATGAAGGGTTGAACTGATTGACCAACTGTTCAGGTCCAATACAAGGAGAGGGAGACTCAATCAAGCTAATTAAAGGAGAAACTCCAAAGGCTGCTGAAAATGTACTAGCAGTTCAAGGAGTAAGAGCACGAGAAGCAATAGAAGAAGAAACATTCATAATCTGAGTACTACATGGGAAAGTAGGGCTAAAAAGGGCTTGTGGTCAGAGAAAACAGTGTCTGCAATTTTCACCCCACTAACTGAAACCCCCAAAGATAATACAAGGTCAAGAGTATGACCACGCTCATGTGTTAGACCAGAAACACACTGTAAAAGATCAAATGACTCTAATAAATTTTAAAACTCACCAACCAGGGGCTTTGAAGGGCAACAAACATGTTCCCCCAAAATTAAAATATTGTCAAAAGAAGGGACAATAACAGATACAAATTCAGAAAACTCCTGAATAAAATCCCCATGCATGTTTGGGGGTCTATAAATCAAAACACAACACAGATTTAAAAGAATTCAACATAATTAACTGAGTTTCAAACGTACAATGAGACTCAGAAGGTAAAAGTCTGCATTTGAACCTGTCTTTAAAAATAACAGCAAGACCACCACCCCGGCCAACAGACCTGGGTGTCCAAAAAAAACTACAACCAGGAGGAGAAAGTTCAGAGAGAGGGATCGTTTCACCGACATTGAGCCAAGTCTCAGTTACAAAAAAGAAGTCTAATTCACGAGAGAGAAAAAGATCATTCAAAATAAAAGACTTATTTGCAAGGGACCTTGCATTAATCAACGCCATTGTCACTGGAATGGAGTCAGAAAAAGGTACAGTTGTGTGTAAAGTGGTATCGTTTACCGGACTTCCATAACGCAGGAAACGAAGATTGTGACGATTTACTCTCCAATCGCCTTACCGCCGCCTCACATGAACCATCCGCGAGGACCAGAGCACTGGCACAGATGAAGACGGGAACGAGGTATGAGCATCTTAGGTTCGGCATCACATCAACGGCCTCCGCCACTGAAGACGCAGGTCCGATGAAAGGATATTTCCTGAACTTCTTTGATCTCACAAGGCCTCCTGCACGCTTCCTTCAGCGTTTCTTGAAACAGGCAGGTAACACATTTTCCTCAGAGCGAATGGCAGCCCGGCAGGTAACACATTTCCTCAATGCAGCTGGCACATAATGAGGATGCAGCTGGCAGACTTCTCCGGGGTCGCGACTCAAACAACCAAACACCACCGATTGAATATTCAGTAGAGTCAAGCAATCGTACACATGGGGAGTTCAAGCAGTATGAGTGATAAAAGACACAACGAAAACTTAAAGAAATAACATAGATAAACTGCAAGTCGGCAAACATATTTCAAAATAAATAGCAAAAATACATATTTTCTTTTAACGAATACATCTAAAAATACACATCTTAATTATTATGCATGAAGCTTTCTTGGGGTTGTACTAGGGCTGCACAATTAATCGAATTTCTAATCACGATTACAATTATGGATGCCACAATTACATAATCGTTCAAAGCGTTAATTAATCGTTCAAAGTCCACTTATGTTATTCTGCATGCTTAAGATATGTTTTTTTCTTTCTACATGTTATCTTAAGGGTTTTTCCATTGTTTTAGATTTACTTTTAGTATAACATTATAATACCATTCATATTTTTACTTTTTTTATAATTTAAAGAAGAAACCAGTCCGATGTATATTTGAGGCTTAATACTATAGAAAAGCACTAAAGGTTTTTCAGTTAGAGTGTTTTCAGCTTCTTTATTTTCATATAAAATACGGCATGAAGTTGCATCAAACAATGGTATAAACATCATTCAATGTAAATTGTGATCATCGTAATTAATAATCGCAATTACAATTTCAAGGGAATTTTTGTCATAATCGTGCAGCCCTTGGTTGTACCATTTGACACCCCAAGAACTAACGGACTTTGACACATTAATTGTGATATTTTATAGTAAGTTTTTTTTGTTTTCATAACAAAATGACTCTGCATTTTGCTTATAATGCTCTGATCTAGGCAAAGTTTTTTTTTTTTTGTTAAATATTAGCAATATTTAAAAGCAAAACTGCTTCGCTACTCTGATGAGCAGCAGTCCATGATCAAGACATGTAGATGTCACATGGTTAGTCATTTGTACCTTGTTTTGTAGTTGCTGTTTTTCACTCTGGTATTTGTTAATCAGCTCCTGGTTTTTTTGTCTTCGGATGTCCAGTTCAATGTCAGCTTCTCTTCTTAACTCCATCTCTTGCTGTTTCAGCTGTTTGTCTTGCTCAGCCTGTTTCTGCTGGAGAAAAGCCTCCATCTGTATGCACACAAATATGGGTTAAATAAGGGCTGAGGTCAAATAAAGTAAAGTAAAGTAAATAAAATCTACCGAGAATGAGATTATTATTTGTGCACTTAACCCATAAACTGACATTCAGTCTACTGAATTTATTAATTACGGAAAATGTAATACAATTTAGACATAACACAAAAGAACAGTGGTTAACTAAACCTAAAACTATTAAAAATTGTTTTTGTTAATTGAAATAAAGATAAAATAATATATAAATATTCAAAATATGAAAGTATTAAGCTTAAAAAAAATCCTTCAACTAGAAATGTTCCTCTGTAAAATAAATACTTATTTTACAGAGGAATTTACCAATTAATTCTTTAAAAATCCTACAATATATATATATATATATATATATATATATATATATATATGTGTGTGTGTATATATATGCACATGCATACATGCACACACAACTACATACATAACATAAATATATATGTGACCCTGGACCACAAAGCCAGTAAAAAGGGTAAATTTTTCGAAATTGAGATTTATACATCATCTGAAAGCTGAACAAATAAGCTTTCCATTGATGTATGGTTTGTTAGGATAGGCCGAGATACAACTATTTGAAAATCTGGAATCTGAGGGTGCAAAAAAATCTAAATATTGAGAAAATCGCCTTTAAAGTTGTCCAAATGAATTCTTGGCAATGCATATTACTAATCAAAAATTAAGTTTGAATATATTTACAGTGGGAAATTTACAAAATATCTTCATGGAACATGATCTTTACTTAATATCCTAATGATTTTTGGCATAAAAGAAAAATCAATAATTTTGACCCATACTATGTATTTTTTGTCTATTGCTACAAATATACCCCAGCGACTTAAGACTGGTTTTGTGGTCCAGGGTCACATATATAAATAATACTAAAATAATACTGCAAAATAAACAAAAACAAAAATAAAAAAGGACACCATAATACATAACCAAATAGGAAACCCCATGCAAATCCCCTGAACACCTGCACACTTGCATCACACTTGCCGCTATTCACGTTGAATGAATTTTCTTGCATAACAATATAAATTTGTCATTGAAAAATTACACTGTAAAACAACTAACAGGACAAAATGGCTATGAGATACATTCATCTCTTTTCATTTTGGTTAATTTAGGCCTTGTGTTGAAGGAAAAAAAGCAAATAAAGCTGTTTGTGCAGTCTTTCTGTGACTGCATGCTGTCATATCAAAGACTGGGATTTTTCACCAACTGTGTGTTGTGAAATATTGAACTGTCAGCAGTTGAATAAAATGGTTAGAGCAATTACAAACAACAAAGAAGGGGATGGTGGCATGCCATGTATTTTAAGTCGGGCATGACCAAGGCCAACATGTTTTTCATAGAGACCAGAGTGCAGACAGAGTGCGTGTGAGAGAACACAGCAGGGTTTGTGTCAGTGTGTGTGGTGGTGAGAGAGAGAGAGAGAGCATGAGAGTGTGTGTGATGAAGAGAGAATTTGTGTTTGTGTATGTGTTTAACAGTAAGAGACCACTTCCACCTAGACTTGGATGCATGTTTGTGTTAACGGCAGGAAACCGGCGGGTCTTAAATATAATTTGCACTAAATCAACCGGCATTCCTCTTAATACTAGCGCGCTGAGGGCAGACCTCAGCCCACAAAAAAAATATAAATGAATGTATTTCAAATAATAAAAACAAAAAAAGAACTACTTCAGACAGAAAGGAAATAAAGAAAATGTGCTTCTGGTTCTTTGGGATAGCGATGCTATGGGCCGAATAGAAACGCTATATTTGTCGTTTCAGTATTCAAAGTGAATGCAGTATATAGAATTTAAATACATTTGGCCCGAAAGCCATGAAAATCATTGCATTAGATAACAAAATATCAAAACAAGTAAAAATCTAATCATTCTGAGAGACAAATTGCATTTTCATCTCACATCAATTTAAAAGGTTTTTATTTGTATTTTGTGACCTCACCTTTGAACTCTGCTCCTCTGCAGCTTTCAGCCTCGTTCTAAAGCTCTCCTCCAGTCTCTCCAATTCTCCCACATGAGTTCTCCTCAGCTCCTCCCTATGAAAAGAAAGTCTACAGTAAATACACCAACAGAAGACTATATAAGTCAACTCAACATATTGGATAACATAAAAGCATAAGTGAATGCTTTAACGTCATTGAGCAAATGATCAAACGTAATGTAAAACGTAAGCATCATTATCAAAATCTTGACTCATGGCGTCATACCTGTCAGGACACGAGTTTTCTAAAACCACTATATGACTGATCTGTTCAATATTACAGATAACACAGAGGAGAAATATTAGGCCATTGGGACATACTGTAAGGTTTCTTAACTGTACATTTCAAAGAGTCACAGTGACACATTTACTGACGCATTTATGGGCAAGAACATTTTATGATCCAGTTGTTATGAAAACAACTTTTTGAAAAATAATTTTGTTAATTGTCATGCCATAAAACATTTATTGATTTAAAACTATGACTAATGTCAGTCTGCAGCCTCAGGGCTAAAGAGAAATTACAAAGGAAATGAGAAGGGGCCCTGAAAAAACAGTCAACAAAGTCAGGCAGTAATGAGTAATTCACAAGAACTATTAATCCTAGCTGAAGACTAATACACCATTCATAGTAAACACAAGCTGTCAAGTAGGTGGCAGACAGAAAAAAAAGTTCTGCTTCTTGCTAAAACTGTGGCAAGACTGAGTATCTTTTTTATTTTTTTGTAAATTGTTATCTATTAGCTTTGATAGAAATATTTTAATCAGTAAGAAGAGATAATAAAATATACTACTAAAATATAATACTACTATGTAAATGTTTGGGGTTAGTAAGATTTTTATTTTAAAGAAAGGGATACTTTTATTTAGCAAGGATACATGAAATTGATCAAAAGTAACAATAGAGACTTTTACATTATGAATGATTTCATTATGAAATGCTGTTTTTTGTGTGTGTCTTTTCAACTTTATATTCATCAAAGAATCCTGCAAAAAAAAAAAAAAAAAAAAAAAAAAATCACAGTTTCCACAAAAATATTAAGCGACACAATTGTTTTTGGCACTGATAATAACCAATTGTGTTTCTTGAACAGCAAATCAGCATATTAGAATGATCTCTGAAGGATTATGTGACACTGAAGTCTGGAGTGACTGGAATAACTGCTGAAAATTCAGCTTTTAAAGGGGTCCTATTATGCTCTTTTACAAAGTCTTGATTTTGTTTTGCGGGGTGTACTAGAACAGGCTCTCATACTAGGTTGTACGAAAAACACATTCTTTTTCACATATTTTATATTATTACAACACCTCTCTCCCCAGTCTGGCATGAACGGCTCGAAATAGTTCCTGTATCAAATGAAGGCCCGCCTTCTGAAATACGAAATGTGCTGTGATTTGTTAGCTGGGCCAGTGTGTGTTGTGATTGGCACCACTCGGCGCCTGGTCGGGAAACGTCATGCCCCTTACCATAGCCGCCTGCTGCGAGCTTCAGTGTAAATATTGCGTCAAAATCAAATCAATTTGAGTGCGATTTAAACCCAGATGATTGTAACCACTCTAAGTTCGTCTGCCTTGGGAAAGCTAGCATGTCTCCAATATAGTGATAACACTCATTGCCTTCTCTAGTGCAGCTCAACCAGGTCTCGTCCCATTCGTCAGTATTTGTGATATCACAAATCCCAGAAAATATGCGTTGTAGTCCAAACGAGTCGTTCATTGTAGTTTTTGAAAAGTTTTATCTTCTGCTAAATAAAATATCTCCTTTTGAAGTGGACTTTGAGCTTTGTAACTTTGCAGATTTTTTTTATGCTCAAACAGCAACATTACAGACTAACTAAAGTTGAAAAAGTGAAAAATAATAATAGGACCCCTTTAAAATAGAAAACAATTATCCAGAGGAATTTACCAATTAATTCTTTAAAAATCCTACAATGTGATTTTCTGGATTTTTTTTTCTCATTTTATCTCTCATAGTTGAGGTATACCTATGATGAAAATTACAGGCCTCTCTCATCTTTTTAAGTGGGAGAACTTGCACAATTGGTGGCTGACTAAATACTTTTTTGCCCCACTGTATATATATAATATTTATTTGTATTTATTTTACAATATTTATGTATTTTTAGAATTCTTCAAAAACATTTAAAAAATCTTACTGACCCCGAACTTTAAAACAGTATGTATGAATAAAATGTAAGATAAAAAAGTATTTGTTTTAAAGATACATTCTCTAAATAATTAATATGCATACATGCAGTAGACATGGCTAACAGACAAACCTTCCAAGAGTGTTCTCTCTTCTTGTTTGTCATCACGTTTAAACTGTGATTATGGTTTGACTCATCAAAACCTACTTCTTGTTGTCGAGATCTAAACAAAAGCCTCTGAAAAGCTCTTCTGCTATTAGCTGAGACAGACAGCGAGGATATGAAAAATGCTGGTGACTAGACAGACAGACAGCTTGGCAGAAATTCCATTTTTACTGCACATTCCTCTGTGGCTCAAACATTCCTCCCATGAGACATAAACTGTGACTTCGTAGACAGACTACTTCCATCACGGATTGGTGAAGACTGAGACACTCACAAAAACAAACAAACAGCTCAGGAGAAACATCAAAGTCCAAACAGACCGATTGAATCAGATCGCCACATACCCGCATTCCTACATCCACCTATCCTGACCTAACCTCTCTTAGTTAAAATGTGTGTCTTGAATAAGATATTCAGAACATTTCAGACCTTAAATGAGCATAATAGGCTAAAATTAACTTGGATACACCCTAGTATGTGTTAATGGAGGTCGCCGTAATTCCCCTGAGAGAGAGGAAGTCACACAGAGAGGAAAATAGAGTGAGCGAGCAAAAGATTCCAGGCGTAATCTCTTTTTTTCCACCCAAAGAGAGAGGGAACGTTTCATCTTGCCGGTCTAGGGGTTTACGTGCCGTGAGGCGGCATACTATTAATGTTAGATAGGTTGGGGACTGACAGACACATAGCTCTCTGACAGCAGTTATGTGATGGGTCTCGAGAGAGTTGGCCTATAATGGGGATGTCTGGAGGAAGTGGCTCTCAGAAATACAAGTGTTAAATAGGCCCAGTCTGGAATGTTCACACTTCACTGAACTTGTGTAATCAAATCAATGGGAAATTATCAGAGTGGCAGATAGAAAGCAAATGCTCTGAAAATGGAAGAAGTTGGAGGGGAGGAGAAAAAACACATGCCAAAAAAGTTCTGAGAGAAGTCTAGTGTAACTGGGATTTTCAACACAGCTTTGAGGTTGAGGTCACAGACACTAAATATGTAACCACTCACAGGTATGAGACTGAATGGGAACAAAAATAAATAAAAAATAAGTGACAGGATAAAAAAAGTGGCATAGTTATGAAAAATGGCATGTTGTAGTATCATATTTTCGTATCATGTCTTGTCATATCACAATTTTATATTACAAAAACTGGTTGAAATATTCAGTGCTGTGCTCTTAATAATACATTTAATAACATTTTCATACAACGAAACGAACACTGAACATACAAATACAATGTAACAATATACAATACATAATGAATGAAGTAAACAAATGTTTGAATAAAGTGCAGAAGAACATAAAGAACAATAATAAAGAATCCAAACATTTTCCACCAATCTAGCTTTTCTAGACTGGCATGGTTTAGTCCAGAATTAGTATTTGTTTTGTTTGTTTGTTTTGTTTTCCATGGCAAATATGAAAATGTGAATAGCTGTTTAAAATTTTTTGTTCAAACCAATGCGAAAATTCACACAAAATTTTAATGCACCAAACATATTGTAAATATTTAACGGTTGATGGAAAAGACGCTAAAAAGGGTAAACTCAAGGTAACTATACTGTGCACGTTCATTATTATTGTAATATATCATATTACAGAACACTGACAAAAATAACAAACACTAAATTAAATAACTAAACTAAATAAAATAACTAACTAAATAAAAATTACAAAAAAAAATAAGTATATATATATATATATATATATATCTCACAGTGTTACTTTATATCTCACAATTGCAACAATATCTTAAATTCCTTAAAGGGGTCATATGATGCTGCTAAAACGAACATTATTTTGTGTATTTGGTGTAATGAAATGTGTTTATGTGGTTTAAAGTTCAAAAAGCACATTATTTTCCACATACTGTACATTATTGTTTCTCCTCTATGCCCCGCCTTTCTGAAACGCGTCGATTTTTACAAAGCTCATCGGTCTGAAAAGTGAGGTGTGCTGTGATTGGTCAGCTATCCAATGTGTTGTGATTGGCCAAATACCTCGGGAAATGTTATGCCCCTCACATACTGTTGACGTCTACTCTCCCAGGATCGGGAAACAGTCCTCCATAAAATGTGCTGCACACATCTGGATATATGGGTTAAACTGTTCTGGAACAGTCTGGTAAATACAACTTAACCATTGATTTGTAGTCGTGCCTTCTTTTGGAAGACCAAACAAAGTAGTTTCGCTTTCACAACGAAAAACACAGCGGCCTATGAGCAGCAACCACATGTGACGGACCCCGGGCTGGACTCCGCTTTGTCCACGGTGAAAGTTGAGAATAGCGCGCCCGGCGGATGCGACGAATGAGCAGCAACCACATGTGACGGACCCCGGGCTGGACTCCGCTTTGTCCACGGTGAAAGTTGATGTATTCCCTCAGCGACCAGCACGGATCAGCTCTAGGCATGACGAAGTGGATATTGTCCTCTTTTGGAAGACCAAACAAAGTCGTTTCGCCTTCACAACAAAGCACACAGCGTCTTCACGACATGGTGGCAGCGGCAACAATACTACAGTGAGAATAAAAGTTACGCATTCTTTCTTTGCATGAACATTGGGCGGTGTTATGCAAATCTTCCCACATAGTGAGGTAGATATGTGGGGGAGTGTTAGAACGAGCCGTTTTAGGTAGGTGCGGCTGACTCTGAACTTTTATAAAGAATATCTCTTTGGATTTGAGACTTTAGTCTTTGCAACTTTACAGATCTTATTTATGCACCAAGAGCTTGTAACACTCCAAA